AGGGGCAGTAACGGCCCAGCCGTACGAGCTGCAGGTCTGAAACTCGGTGGAGACATACTAGACGGATGCCTGATGAAGCACGTGCAGCATCATCAGTGCACACCTGACCAAAAAATTTCTACAATGTTTTTAATATTACAAAACCAACTTTGTTAGTGATATTTCCGGAAACGTGCGTTTTCCGGTTTGACTAACTTAGCAACGTCGGAATTGCGACGTGTGTTTTCTGGTATCATCTTACTAACTTATCAATTACGGCATTGTGACGTGACTTTTCTGGTATCATCTTACTAACTTAGCAATCCCGGAACTGCGGCGTGACATTTCTGGTATCATCTTACTAACCTGGCAATTCCGGTACTGTGAAGTGACTTTTCTGGTATCATCTTATTAACTTAGCACTTTCGGAATTGCGATGTGACTTTTCTGGTATCATACTACAGCACTGTAATGTGTGTTTTCTGCTATCATTTGACTAACATAGCAACTACTGAATTGCGACATGTTTCATGTTGTCATCTTACTAACTTAGCAACGCCATAATTGCGACGTGTTTTCTGGTATCATCATATTAACTTTGTAAAATGTTACTAAAATAGTCAAGTCATAGTAATGCAGTAATTGCAATGTTTGTTTTCTTATAACATCTTAGTAATTCTGTAATTGTAACATATGTTTTCTGATATCTTACCTAGCAATTTTGGCATTGCGATGTGTCTTTTCTGGTCTTAGAAACTTTATGCATGGTCAATACTTCGGTAGTAATCAATAAAGATGCAGTTGATCACAAAGATCTCTGATTTGCTAAGTATAAGTTTCAGATTTGCTCATTAGGCTAACCCTACCCAGATTTCCTACGTGAAATTTTGGAATTGTGGTTTCAGATTTGTTAATTAAGCTAACCCTACCCAGCAATGCTAAGTGTAATTCCGGGATTGCTACTTCCAGATTTGCTAAATGTATTACCAGAACTGCTCATTAGTCTAACCCTACCCAGAAATGCTAGGTGTGATTCCGGGATTGTTACTTCCGGATTTGCTAAATGTATTTCCAGAACTGTTCATTTGTCTAACCCTACCCAGGAATGCTAGGTGTGATTCTGGAATTGTTACTTCCAGATCTGCTAAGTGTATTTCCAGAACTGTTCATTAGTCTAACCCTACCCAGAAATGCTAGGTGTGATTCTGCAATTGTTACTTCCAGATCTGCTAAGTGTATTTCCAGAACTGTTCAGTAGTCTAACCCTACCCAGAAATGCTAAGTGTAATTCCAGGATTGTTACTTCCAGATCTGCTAAGTGTATTTCCAGAACTATTATTAGTCTAACCCTACCCAGAAATGCTAAGTGTAATTCCAGGATTGTTACTTAACCCTACCCAGAAATGCTAAGTGACATTCTGGAATTGTTCATTAGGCTAACCCTACCCAGAATTGCTACGTGTATGTATGGAAGTGCTAAGACCAGGAATGTTAAGAAGCAATGCCGGAAATGTGACGTGTGCTTTCTGGTATCACCCTACTAACATAGTAAAATGGTACTATAAAAGTCAAGTCACAATTGCTAGATTGCTAACGTAGCAATGTAGCAATTGCAATATCTATTATCTGGTATCATCTTAGTAATTCTGTAATTGTAACATGTGTTTTCTGATATCGTACTAACAGCAATTTTGGCATTGCGATGTGTCTTTTCTGGTCTTAGAAACTTTATGCAAGGTCAATACTTCGGTAGTAATGAATAAAGAGGCAGTTGATCACAAAGATCTCTGATTTGCTTAGCATAAGTTTCAGATTTGCTCATTAGGCTAGCCCTACACAGATTTCCTATGTGAAATTTTGCAATTGTGCTTTCAGATTTATTAAGCTAACCTTACCAAAAAATGCTAATTCAATTCAGAAATTGGTCTTCCAGATTCGCTAAGTATATTTCCAGAACTGTTCATTAGTCTAACCCTACCCAGAAATGCTAAGTGTACGTCCGTTATTGTTCATTAGGCTAACCCTACCCAGAAATGCTAAG